GGGGGGCAGGGGCTGCTGGCCGCGGCCGAGACCGCGGGTGGAGGGGGCCGGGACCACGCGCTGGTGGCGGAGGTATCCCCCAACCCGTCCCCCCCCATATAAAGAGATACAATGTTTCCTTTTATGGCGAGGCCGCTCCTTATATGGTGAGCCCCAGCGCCCCCGCCCTATTGGTCCGCGCTTCCGGCACCTCCGCTCCCCATTGGCCCGAAGGGGACACTTATTTGCATAGACATACCGAACTCGCTGCTGTCATCCCGCGTCAGACCGCGATTCCGAGAGGGGCGGGGACAACTCCTTAAAGGAACAGTCGGGGCGAGCCAGCTCCGCCTCCAAGTGGTGAAGCGTAGTGGAGTATTGAGAGGGGCTGGCACTGGAATACTGACTCGCCGAGAAGAGGGAACCCCTGAGTGCACTGGGAGTTCGAAGCAAATGAGGAAAAACACTCCCTAATTCCAGCGAAGGAGTGTAGGAATAGACTGGAGCGCTTCCATCACTTCCTGGGGAAGGTAAAGTGGCTGGAGCCAAGGGAGTGTGAGTGTTTAGACTCCTTCAGCCCAGCGGCTCCACACGTCCTGACCCGCTCCCCCCCCCCACTTCCCCTTCTCTCCTTTCAAAGGATCAACACTTTCCCACAAGTCTAGCTGCGAGGTCACATCATTCATCATCCTCTCCACTGGGGGGTCTTTGGCACACATCTGGAAGAGGAGAGGAGGAGGTATAGAGACGGTCTCCCATCCATGGTGGGGGCAGGGCGGAGAGCGAGAGGTCGGTGAAGACTTCCAGCTGCCGGCCGCGCTGAAAGGGGGTGTTCTACAGGATACAGCACACCCGCGGCCAGTGCGGATAGGAGGAATGAGGAGAAAAGACGTAAAGGTTAAAACGTGGGCGTTACAAAGCCCACGTTAAGGGTCCGAGAGTCTTGAGTCTTTGCTCCAAGATAGAGAAAATAGCTTGAACGTCTGTTACTGAAATTACTCAAATCTGGCTGAATGGGATAGTGCACACATTTAATTCCAGCTATTGCTGAGACTGAGGCAGGGGGATTTCCCCGAGTTTAAGACCAGCCTGACCTGTGTATTGAGTGCCAAGCCAGCCAGGACCACACAGCAAAACTACTCAAAGAATGTATTGAAATATGAAGCCTATCTGCCTTTTGGTAGGCTTGTGCCTGTAAATAAGCGACTTGGTCCATCTCTGGCATTGGTGCCCATTCCTCAGGTTCTGCCTTTTGGTAGGCCTGTGCTGGAAACAAGAGACCTGGTCCATCTCTGGCAGTGGTACCCATCCCTCAGGTTTTGAGTACAGATTTAATGGGGGCAAGGAGTAAAGGAAACCACAATAGTTGTCTGGGGCTAGTTACGTGGAGCTGCCTGTCGAAAGTCTCCCCAGCCCATGAATGAACATCCTGGAGTGTTCAATGACATGGGTTTCCTTTAAGTGCCCTTGGGAAGAAGATAAAGTGATTGGTTCGCTATACTGGTGTCAACACAAGTATTTGAACAAACAAGTTAGCCAGATGTGGTGGCTTACACCTGCAGCACTGAGGAGGCCAAGGCAGGGTCACCAGAAGGATGATCATAGATCCAAAGGCTAGTCTTAGTAATAGACTAATAATAGACTTAGTAATAGACCAGCTTGCAAGATTAAGGATTTTGGTGATGGCTCACCCCCCCCCCACACACACACACATGAGATTAAAGACCTAGGTGACGGCGACGGCTCAGTCAGTGAAATGCTTGCTTAGAAAGCATGAAGATCTGAGTTTAAGCCCCAGAACTCAGGTCAAAAAAGTCAGTTATAAATTAGGAAAAGGAGGTGGTGCATGCATTTAATCCCAGCACTTGGGAGGCAGAGGCAGGCGGATCTCTGAGAGTTTGAGGCCAACCTGGTCTACAGAATAAGTCTCAGGGCAGCCAGGGCTACACAGAGAAACCCTGGCTGGGGCGGGGGGGAGGCAGGGAGCATCTATGGTGGCACATACTCGTATCTATTTCAGTGCTGGGAGGATACAGGCAGACACCTGGGCACCCCGGTCACTTGGGCTATCCTACTTGGCAGTTGAGTGAGAGACAATGTCTTTAAAAACAAGTCTGAGTTGGTGGCATGGCTCAGTGGGTAAAGGCAATTACTGCCAAGCCTGAGTTCAACCCCTGGGACAACATGGTGAAAGGAAGGAACCAACTCTTGAGAGCTGTCCTCCGTACTCACATACACACTGTGCACACACACAAATAAAATATATTAAATTTTAAAAAATAAAAAACCCACAGTGGACAGCTTCTGAGGAATGGCAATCAAGACTATCCTATGGCTTCACACCCTCTGTCATACATACAGAAACAAAGAGCAAAGTGAAGTATTATCGAAGTCTCAATCATCACAGGCTGGTATTGAACTTACTATAAAGCTGAGGGTGACTTTAAACATCTACTCCTCCCCCTCTAGTGCTTGCAGAAGGGGCTGGAGCCACCACACCCAGCTGCAAAAACCTTCTGCATGGGCTGGGTGTGGTGGAGCATGACTGTGCACCAGTCTGTGAGTTCCAGACCAGCCTGAGCTACAAAGTGAAATCCTTTTTCAAAACACACACACACACACACACACGTATAAACCAACCACTTTTGTTTCAATTATATACAAGTTGAGCCATATAAATGTGCTATTTTATAGGTCAAGAGGGTATAAAGTTGTTGATTTCATCTTTATGTTTGTACTGGGCAACAGTGTTCATTGCATTGCTTACTATGAATCACAGTCCAAAGCATAGAAATATCAAGAGATTTGTGATAAAGTATGTTTCTACATGCACAAACAATATAGGCTTAGTCACTAAATCCCTGAAAACAGGAACCAGGATCACTCCTCGCTCCCATTTCCCCTCTAATTTGCACCACAGGTACTTAAACCTAGGAATGCATTAGCTTAAGAGGCAGAATAGGCCAGATACATAAATAGATTCTGGAAGGATTCATGGGCCACAGATAGAATGGGAGTGGGGGCATGGAGGTAGGGGAGTCTGAAATCCACAGCAGCCCACCCAGCTTCCAAAGAATTTTAAGTCCTGTACCGCAAGGCAGTACCCCATCACACCCACAGTGGACCAAGGCGGTACCCCACCACATCCACAGTGGACCAAGGAGGTACCCTGCCACACCCACAGTGGACCAAGGCCGTACCCCATCACACCCACAGTGGACCAAGGCGGTACCCCATCACATCCACAGTGGGAGCAAGGCCGTACCCCATCACACCCACAGTGGACCAAGGCGGTACCCCATCACATCCACAGTGGGAGCAAGGCTGTACCCCATCACACCCACAGTGGACCAAGGTGGTACCCCACCATATCCACAGTGGGAGCAAGGCGGTACCCCATCACATCCACAGTGGGAAGTCCTGGGAAGAACCCTACCCTGTCTTTGGCTTTCCTTCCAAGGGGCTGCTCTTTCTCCTGGGCTACTGTGCTGTGTCCCAACCTACTTAGGATGACTTCGTCCACACTGCCTTTTGTCACCACTGCCTTCCTAGAAAGGCAGATTCTAGAAAGCTGTGGTGCAAGCACTAGCAGTGTTTAGCTCTCGACTAGGTCTGGGACAGAAAGTACACTGTATTTTATGTACACTGTATCTACCACCTGACAGTTTCAGTCAGAATTACACTTTTACCTATTTTCTCTTACATTCAAGCAAAACTCAAGAAACAAGGCAGAGCTGAGTTAAATGGGCTTTGATGTTGGCTACACAAAAAAATCAGGGTTAAGATTTTGAATTGGGGGCTGGAGAGATGGCTCAGAGGTTAAGAGCACTGACTGCTCTTCCAGAGGTCCTGAGTTCAATTCCCAGCAACCACATGGTGGCTCACAAACCATCTGTAATGAGGTCTGGTGCCTTCTTCTTGCATACAAACATACATGGAAGGAATGTTGTATACATAATAAATAAATAAATCTTTAAAAAAAAAGATTTTTAATTGGGAATGGTGACACATGCCTGTCATCCCAGAACTTGGGAGGTAGAGGCAGGAAGACCAGGAGTTCAAGAGCAACCGCAGCTATGCAGTGGGTTGAAGATCATTTTTGGGCCACACAGAAACTAATACTAAAATCAGTTTTACCTTCAAATAAGGCTGACTTTCCTAACACTGGTGGGCTTCAGAGACAGTGCGGGGGGTGGGGATGGGGGGAGGCGGGGGAGGGTGTGCCACAGAGTCGGTCCATGCAGGCAGAGGGAAGGAAACACCAAGAAGAACATGGCTGTGGAGACTGAGGTAGTGGTCACGGAAGAGGATCCAGGAGCTACCTTTTTTATGTAGCTGGTATGTCGGTGTTCTATGTGTATGCCTGGTGCCATGGAGGCTAGATGCCCTGGAACTGAAGTTAGAAATAGTTGTGAGCAGCCAGGCGGGTACTGAGAATTGTCGCTGGGTGCTCTGGAAGAGTAGCCAGTGTGTGCTCTTAATGGCTGAGCCATCTGTCCAGTCCTTGGTCTTGATCCTCCTGCCCCTACCAACCAGGTTCTAGGATTACAGGACTCTTATCTCCATGCTTAGTTTATGGCTGGAGATCTAACAGGGTCTCGTGCACACCAGGCAAGCA